CCAGTAAGTCAAGTTTTTTAACTGTCGTTAGTATGCGAGTGTACCAGTAAGTCAAGTTTTTTAACTGTCGTTAGTATGCGAGTGTACCAGTAAGTCAAGTTTTTTAACTGTCGTTAGATCTGCGTTGGCGTACCAGAGATTGTCTCTTAAATCAAATTGCGTGAAAAATTAAGTCCAATTATACTGTGCAATGCATATATCCATTTCTGTAGCAGTCCTAGTCTACGTTAATTTATATTTTGGTTCACATGCGAATTCGTCTTTGACGGTCTCTGCTTTGAATCCTTTTGTTTTCTTTGTCTTGTATTGGAATTTGGAAGTCACAACTACAAATTGGTAGAAATTTTGTCGTACAATAAGAAGATATGTGCTTTTGTCGCAGTTTGGCATTTATCAAGGCATATTTTGATCCCATATGGTTTGTGAACAAACTGTCAATTCAAATATGAACAGGAGTGAAAAAAAATTAAATTGGCAAGAAATCTAGGGAGTGATAATTGTGTAGAAGTAGTTAGGCCTCATTTTGTCTGCGCATCATTAAAAAATGTTTTACTTTCGTTTCCGTTGAGAGGAAAAAGATAGTAAAGCCTGGAGAGAAGCTGGTTTTTAGCTGTATTGAAAAGCAAGCTTGTGAAGTAGAAAAATTGACATAATAGAAAAATCAACTTTACTTTCAAAAAGATGGCCCACGTAGGACCCTTTTGGCTTGGTCATTTTTATATTTCTATGAGAGAACTTGTAGAATGGGAGGTGAGAAAAGTTGTGATAACCAACCAATTATTTATCCCTTATAAAAGTCATTAGTGGAATTTTCTATTCCTTTTTATCTTTTCTTCCCCCTCAAGGACTTTTTATCTTCCATTAATTATTGTCTGTTGAAAATGTTTCCTACAGAAGAGAAATTATTAGTTACACTTATATTCGTAGTACTAAATTATAAGAACAGAATGCATATAATCTGCAATATTCACTCATATAATTTCAGTAATAAAATTCAATTTTTTGTGAACAAAAGTGTGGGGAGGGCCGGAGAATCGTACGTCCACCCCTTTAAGACGTAACAATAAAGGCCCTCACATGTTAAAAAATGTTTGCATTGAGTCATAATTAGACGAAGCACGCCATCTTAATCCTTTTCTAGTTAATAAACATTTATGGTAATAAAATTACACTAATTAACGGATAGTGATCGATCTTGCTTTGAGTGCCTTCGTATGATTCCTGAGCTTACCTACTCTTTATAAATAGGAGTAGATATCAGACCTTATTTAACAAAATCACTTGCGAATTATTCTTGGCTCACACAGTACGTTACATAATATAGGCATACAACTGCATATGCATAATTAGTTATAATTCCAGAATTGCGGCTCTAAAATAAATAAAGACCGCGTTCATTTTATCGATTCGAGTTTTCAATTTTAATTTTATTATAATTATAAGCTCTCACAATAAATCACATCTAACTTTTTCTGTTACTGTAAAAAACTCTCACATAAAATCACATCTCAACTCAAATTGAAAACTCGAATCAACGAACTAAACGATGTCAAAATCTTTTAAATGAGGCCAAAATCTTCTAGGCTCATATTGCGAATAAAAATACATTAAGGGTTCGTTTGGTATGATGATTCAAACTAATATAATTCTAATCATGATTCTAAAACTATAACCATGATTCATGATTTTGGGTTCAAATCATGCTTCTGAAACTATGATTTAGAATCAGGGGTTTAAATCACCTTGAATCAAGATGGGGGGAGGGTAGTTTTAGAATCATGATTTGAGTTAGTTTAAAACATCACATCAGATTCTGAATCATAATTCAAAATCATTCAAACCAAACACTGATTCTGAATCACTGTAAACAAACACTGATTCTGAATTAGGATCCAGAATCATAATTTTGAATATATTTACCAAACGCATCCTAATTAACTCAATCATGAACAACCACAGAGAAACCAATACCTTCTCATTATATCTACAGGGACTGACAAATAAGAAGAAAATGTGAATAAAGAGTGGAGGCAGATAAGCTCGATGATATGATCATAGCGAAAGACAAATTAACCAAACATATTCAACTAAAGTCAGATTGTTGGTTCAAGCTGAAAATTTTAATTAATGCAACGTAGTCAATAAGTGGATTGGTCTTTGGCTAGCTAAGGCAGCCTGGGACTGCAATAATTATATAGCGATATGGAGGCTTGGACTAAGGAAGCATACGTTTCTTAAATTCGGCCTTTTAATTAATTTTGACTGCGCAAGCTTCTAATTCACCAACATGTATAAACATATCTGTCAAGCACTAATAATTATATGAAACCGTGAGGGACTTGAGACGCAACAAAAAGGTCAATCAAATGACGCCGAGTGATGTCACACTGATGCGATGCTTCCACCCACCCAAATACGTTGCACTAGTTCGCGCTTTCAAGGCTTTGTTCCCTCTACGTTGAATGCTCGGCGCAATGATGAAGATGTCTTTCTTTTCTCTGTATATATGACTTAAAATCTGAGCTCTATATTAATTTCATTTTAAAATTTTCACCTGGTCTATAAATTATTTTCTATTTATTTCATCGATTTAAATTTAAAATTTAAATTTTATTATAATAAAAAATTCTCAAAAATAATTATATTTAATTTTTTTATTACAGTAAAAAATTTATATAAAATCACATTTTAATTAGAATTAAAAATTTAAATCAATGAGCTAAATAGACCCTTAAGCATTTTCTTAAATATTCCTTTCTAGGCATTTTCTTAAATATTCCTTTCTATAATATAGAGATTAAATCCCTTCTTTGATCTAATTTGTGTTTGTCTTGGCCACGTTTTGTTAGTCCTTAACCAACAACTTCCTTGAATTAAATGGATACCTTAACCTCTTTTTTCAAGGGAATTTTTCTGAGAAAATTATTGAACTTATTCTTGAAAATATATAGATCTGAATTTTTATGTTTAGTACACTTTTTTTAATATAGTTATTTGATTAAAAAGTGTATTAATCAAGAGTAAATAATAAAAATTAAGACTTATACAATTTTAAGAGGTATTTGTCAAGATTTTTCAGACAAATGAGACAAATGCTCCTGAAAAGTGCATGAGTCAGGAATTCTATATCGTATTCTTGATTAATAACCTTTTTAGTTAAATAACTATACTAATAAAAGAGTATAAATTAATAGTAAGGAGTAAAAATTCAGACTCATAAGATAAATTACAATTTTCTCAAAAAAAAATTCTTTTCTCGTGTCTGTTTGGGCCACGACGCTTATATAGGATCGAAACGGTCCAATTATAGTTAATTCTTGCTAAAAGTACTATAAAGTTCACCATTCTTGAAGTTAAGAAACTTTAGAAACGATTTTAGCAAATCATCCTTTTCTTTATTTCGTCTGACATGAAGCTAAAGCAGAGTTTTTTTTTTCTTAAGTATCCATATGCTTGTTCACTAATGATCCTTTTCATCAATATTGCCAATCAATGAAGCCGTGACTAATTAATATATATATAACGTTAACTCAAATTGCTTATAGAGTTTTATGAAATTACAAATCATGATCACCTGTGTACATAATCCTCAATTTCCCTGGCATTCCTCTTCTCTTGTTAGTCATTTGGTGACCTACCAAAAAGCAAATATATATATATATATAACGTTAACTCAAATTGCTTATAGAGTTTTATGAAATTACAAATCATGATCACCTGTGTACATAATCCTCAATTTCCCTGGCATTCCTCTTCTCTTGTTAGTCATTTGGTGACCTACCAAAAAGCAAGTACCCCACTAGTTTCCTCTTAGTTTCATTATCTGGCAGTGTTTTGTCTTTTGTATATGCTTCTAGAGTCTTCTAATCTATTTAGGCATGCATACCATCAATACAGATGGAATTTGACAATTGTTCTTAATTTCAACTATCTCTAGAGAGAAGTTAGGTTTGGGTATATTTATTGATTTATGATGCATTTGACTGTCTCTCAACCAACAGAAACAAATTAAGGAAAACAAAGAAAAATCATGTGCGGCTTGAAGTGTATATAAAAACCTTAGCTTAAGCTATTAAGAGGTGGGCCAACAATAGTTTTATACTCTTAACACTCCTCTTCACGTGTAGGTTGGACAATGGATAATCGTGTGAGTAAATTAATTGGAAAGCCCAACAAGTGAATATTTAAGCTCGAGATATATTAAAGACTCAATACATGATAATAATTTAAATGAGGATAAATAATACAATTACGGGGGTTTAAACTCAGGATTTCCTGCTTTGATACCATGTTAGTTTACCAATCTATCCTAAAAGTTTAAGCTATTAGGATGTGAGCTTACAATAGTTTTATACTTTAACATATATATATATATATATGTATTGGAACTAGGAAGACAAAATTGTAATTTTCTATTTCAACGCTCCAAAAATAATTAATCCATTCGTTTTGAGAGGCGTGAAAAATGTGTCTCAAGTTCAACACCATTAATCCTAATCATAGAAGAGGAATCTTCTACACTTGGACTTCATACCCTTCACATATCCTTTTAAATCAGTATTATTATAACTTATATATGTTATTTACAATGTGAGAGCAAATATCCCCTTAATCTTATTATATATATAGCCAATTTTATATGCGTAATACTGTCGTCTTGACATCAATATGTGCTTCATATATACACCTATTAGTCGCAATACATGTCCCACTAGACGGTAAAGTTAATTGGACTTAGGGTTCCGATAGAGAAAATCAGCAGCCGTTATATAAAAATAATATTGATTCTAGACTCAAAGAGACAAGAAGAAAATCCCTGCTCTCCTGTCCTGGCCACACTCATTTCTCCAATATTTTATTTACAGTCACTTTCTATAATCCAACCCCTCTTTTAATTAAATTTTATAATATTATCTCTTCTGAGACAGTTGTTTATCCTCTTTAGCATTATAATCTCCCTTTCTCTCTCTCATAATTCTCGTTGTACGTTATACGGAGAGAGAGATCAGCCAAGAATCAATTACTAAGCGATCTAAAGCAAAACCGAGAAATTCGACAAAGCTAGAGAGAGAAAGAGGGGCAAAGAAAAAAAAATGGGAAGAGCTCCTTGCTGTGACAAAGCCAACGTGAAGAAAGGACCGTGGTCACCAGAAGAAGATGCCAAGCTCAAATCCTACATCGAAGAACATGGTACCGGTGGAAATTGGATTGCTTTGCCACAAAAGATTGGTATGAAATTCTTGATATAATATTGATGATCTTCTAATCAATTGTTTTTATCTCTTATGTATAGAATCAGAACATCAATGAAATTTTTTTACATCCTAGGCATATTTAGTAGTAAAGATGAGATTTTAATTAGTTTTTTTGTGAATTTGTTAGGCCTTAAGAGATGTGGGAAAAGCTGCCGACTTAGATGGCTAAACTATCTTAGGCCAAACATCAAGCATGGAGGATTCTCCGAAGAAGAAGACAACATAATTTGCAGCCTCTACATAAGTATTGGAAGCAGGTAATTATAATTATCATTATTATAAATACCCTTTCATTAACTATTCCAAAACAATTAATGACCTAGCTGACCAGTGCAGTTGTAACGCAATCACTTAATTAATTAACATCTTGTTTAATTTGCGTTGTTATATATATATATATATATATAGGTGGTCTATAATTGCAGCACAGTTGCCAGGAAGAACAGACAATGATATCAAGAACTACTGGAACACAAGGCTGAAGAAGAAGCTCCTTGGTAAGCAGCGCAAGGACCAACTGGCAGCTCGTAAAGGCCTAAAGGCGCAGGAAACAAAAAGAGGGATTAATAATATTGGAATGATAAATTCCATGGTCGACGTCAATTCAGAAAATACCGGCCCTAATATCATGAATATTAACCAGAACCCTTACTGGCCAGAGCTTCCCATTCTTGCTCCGCAGCCATACTCGAGCGAGTTCGAACAGCGTCGCGACAACCACGCTTCCATCAGAAAGTTGCTCATCAAGCTCGGAGGAAGATTTTCCGACGACGGCGACAACGACAATAATCGGCCAATTCACGACGTCGGATCAACAGTTCATCATCCTAACCATTTGTTCCCAATCAACATTAATCCTTCAGGTACTACTACTCAACAACTTTACGAGCTCTCCGGCGATGTCACGTCCTCTTCCGCTCCAGCGGTGTTCGGAAATTCAGCCGTTGGATTCACGCAAGCCGGCCAGCATAACGGTATCACAGATTACGAGCCGGGTAGTTCAAACATGTTGTTACAAGGGCAAACAAGTAGTAGTACTACCACTACTATTGCTCAGCTGGCTGAGCTTGATGAGGAAAAGGCTTACAATGACCCTGCACAAGTGTTAGATGGGCTGGAGTTCTTATTTGATGGCAATAGTACTAGTACTAGTACTACTTATGGCTGGGGAGATCAGATGAGTTCGTTTATTTATAGTAATCCTCTAATTGCTTCTCATGACTACGAAGGAATGCAGCGAGGGATATTGTCAGAACAAGAATGTCTTCTCAGTGATCAGTCGAGTACTTTTCTTGAGGCGCAATGAATCGATCGATGTGTGTGTACTGTACATGTACAATATTATGGAACGTAGTATGTGTAGATTTATATTATGAGTTGATGTTATTAGGGTGTTGTGGGGAGTTTAATGGATCAGATGATGGCCATGAGTTTTATGGAAGAGAAACCCTAATATAATAAAGCATATTCAGTCCTAGTACATATGTTTTTTGATTTTCTCATTTTTTTTCCACGAGTATAGTTTGCGTATGCTTTTATATGTTGTGTTGAGTTTTTCAAAATATTATTATAAGTTTGGGAGTTATTCTGTAGCTTGAGCTTTGAAGCTATAACTTATTTTAATAATTAGCGGTATTAGCTACTCGGATTTTCATATTATATTATCAACTGAAGTAATACGTCTTGTTTCTTCGTTCTTAATCTGAGAGAGACAATACATCGGCATTTTTTAAAAATCGAAAAGAAATTACAGCTAAAATGTGTTTTTTTTTTTTTTTTTTTTTTTGCTGAGCGTGGTATATATTTGTTTTCTTCCACTTATATATTATATATTATATATTGGGTGCAGTTAAAAGTTCATTTCGAAACCCAGTGAAAAAGGAAGCTTATAGCAACTTTTGGCGGTCATAACTTTTAGGGAAGCCAGCTCTCTAAAAGTCAGAGAATTCTATTATATTTTGTTTTATCACACTTTTCTAGGTGAATGGAGATAGTACGACCAAAGTTCTCAGTCGTGATATACTTTTAACATAATACTCGAAGAAGACGGAAACGGAAATAATACAAGTCTGCAGTGAATTATGTCAAGGGAAAACGGCTTAGCTAGTTAGATTATATAGTATGATCCCGTTTATTTTATTATTTTGAGTTTAGAATTTAAATTTTATTACAGTAAAAATTTTTCAGATATTTAATTTTTTTATTATAATAAAAAACTCTTATATAAAATCACATCTCAACTCAAATTAAAAACTTAAATCAACGAATTAAACGCCCTTATATATGCCTGCCCTAGTTAGATAGATTACACAATTCAAAACTAGAAGTGAAAGTGTCCATTTGTTTATTTTCTATCATTATCTTGCCATATTAATTATTGCATGATTTATATCAAATACGAAATTAATTAGTTGTCCAAAATTTTTAGTGATTATCAACATTTGTCACCTACGATTCTTTGGTGATGGTATGGTGAGGCCGGGCCGTGGGAAGAACTTTTGGTGGGATTGTGGGTTTGATCCTACTATTGTAATCTTTATTTCTAATTTATAATAACAAGTGATTATATATATATATATATATATATATAAAGATTAAACAGGAAAATGAATTGAAAATGAAAAAATCTTGTGGTTTAAAGAACTTCTCCAACTTTTTGCCTAATTATTGTAGCCAAAATTATAAGTTTGATTAATAAACAGCGGTCACATGCTGTCCTATCGAAGACTTCATAGTCCTCCTAAGGCTAATACTATGATCCCTAATGAAGGGAAACCCCATATCTAGATACCGTATGCAACATATAAATAAGAACAAGTGCCTCTCGGTCAACGGCCTTTGATTAGCAATTTATATATAGGCAGCAGATAGACACAATAAATGGCCAACATTATTAATTTTGACCCTGATTAGAACGAGTACGGTCCTCATATTTGTATGAAAAATGTTGTGTAACCTGGATATATTTCTATTCTCTCATAGAGAATGGGCTCCATTTGTAGGATCCATGTGAGATTCATTTGTAGTACGATTACTCTATTTGTATATATGGAGAGATCTCTAACAAAAAGATATTCATTCATTTTCCATCTGAATCTTTTGTGAATTAGTTATACATAGAGAAGCATATTACTTAGCCGCAAAAATTAAAAATAAATTAAAGAAGGTCCTACTGTTTTTCTTATAGTTCCACAAGTGAAAGCGGAAGATTGTCAAACTTTGCCCATTTGGAGCTTAATTATTTGTCCAGTATTCATAGTTCGCTAACCAAGGCATTACCGAATTAGGGAAAAATGGAACCAAAAAAAAGTCCTACGATGCGTACTTTGATATATATATATATATATAAACTGTCTGCATTCTAGTTAAGGGATCACGCAAAATTCCGAGCTACGTCAGGAGATAATGTATGCGTTCTAGTTAATGCTGGCCGCTAGGTTTTGTATATATGCCACGATGCATGTTTCAAAATACTTGTAATGAACTATATATCCGGAAAAATGCTTGGATTAATCAAGTCAAGTCTTGGCTAGAGAGCATTGAAGTTCATATGATCCCTCTACTGACTTTGAGATTAAGTTTTAACCACGGTTGATTACAGTTGTAATATTTTGGATGTATATACATAACAAATAATGCTGTCTTGTGTCGACAATGAAATGTTCGGTAAGCCACGGTCATGATTTGTTAGAATTGGTTGACATATTTTGAAATTTTGGTAGCTTTTTTTTTTTTTTGTTTTTTGTTTTTATTAACGGATTCAAAAACTTGGTCCAATAAGCCAGATCAAATTAATCTTATTCTTACATATGGAGAAGTCATCAAGTTGACTTTTCATCCGGTAGAGCGCTGTGACTTTGTGTAAACGATGTGCGAAGCCCTCACTAAAGCTGGTAAAAAACGATTATTGTCAAAAGATATTTTGGCTTTTATGGCCATGGAAATCACTAATGATTACAATATGTCTCTTGACATTCCGGATATATAGTCCAACCATTAACATCTCAAGGAAAGAAATAACAACTAAAAGTAACCTGATCTTTTCTAGAAGAAAAAGAAGACTAATTATAAGAGCTATGAATTCCAGGCATACTTAAGTATATCAATGTAAGAGAATAACTAATTACAAGAGATTAAGTTCAAGTTCTTATATTAAAATCAACGATATAGTGATTAATAATTAGCAATTACAAAAGAGGTTCATTATTAATGTTACCCTAGCTATAATTCAGTGCTAAAGTTTTTAGTCGACTTATTAAAAATCACTGTACGTAATCGAAGTCGTCCTTGAGAATTGGCAATTTATGCTATTTCTTGTGCAAGAGTGTTTAGGGATTGTTCTTTTGCATTTTTGAGTTAGGGTGACTTGAGTGATGATCTTGAGTTGAGTTTGAGTTATAACTTGAGTTAAAATTGTAACTTGAGTTTGTGTTTAGATGTGCACATTTGAGTTATGATTTGAATTGAGAATCTATTTGAGTTTGTGTTTGGGTGGGTCAAAACTTAAATTTGTATTTAGATAGTATTTTAATAAAAACTCAATGGTGATGAAAAATTTTAATAGGGTATATGGGTGAGGTTTTATTCGTCTTTTCGTTGTGAATGCATAGAAAAAAAATTATCTCAATCAGAATTAAAACGAAAAAGTTATGACATTTTTAAGAATAGAAAAAATATTGTTCATTAACTTGAGTTCGAGCTTATAAACTCGAGTTGGGAAACTTGAACTTGAGTTTAACTCCAAACTCGAGTTCAAACTCAAATTTTACAAAAGAACATGAATTTAAATAAAATTGTAACTTAAGTTTAAATTTTTTTTTAAATTTTGTTACAAAAGAACAACCGGGTACTATGTGAGCCATCCTTATACTTGGACCATTTCTGAGTAGTGATTTTTGGAATATGTACTATTTGAGTCTTGATTGGTGAATGCTAATGACCTGTTAATTTGGTTTATAGATTTGAATAAAAATTTAAATAAAGTGAAACAAAACGTGATATTTAAAAAAAAAAAACCACTTTGACCCAAAATTTTTTGGTTCAAAACTATGAAAGAAATTAAAGGCTAAGGCCTTACTTTATAACACTCTCACTTGTCTTTTCTTTTTTCATGAAAATAACATAAGAGATCAATATATGTTAATGTTGAAAAGACCTTTGATTAACGCCCAAAAGTGATATTCACAAGCGGTCAATTGTAGCACAGAAGGGCGGTCATATCCACAGAGAGATAACAAAATAACAAGAATGATTAATAGAATAAGAGCGTTAGAGAAAAATGAATTAAAGAAAAATGAGAGTTTTTGAGATTTTTGTTGCAAATAAAATAAAAAAAGAAGAAAATCTGTATGAAGAAAACGGTAAGGTGTCGAGAATCCCTAATGCTTCGTTCACCAATTCAAGTTTTGATTCACAATATTAAATAACTAAATAAATTAAATCTGTATGTTGACTCCAGAAATATTATTATTACAAGTTATCTAAAATCGACAATATATCAATCTGACAATATTGCAGTAAAAGACAATTTGTAAAATAATTTGAATAACAAAACATTGCATGACAGAATTACATAAGAAAAGTGTGACTGAACTTATATAAAAATTGACACACAATATTTTGAAAAGTAATAGAAAAGTAGATGAGATTTAATTCATTCAGATGTTGAAGTTTACAAAACAAGGAATCAAAACCCCAAATTGGGTCGCTCAACAGAAGTTCATCTCTAACCTCACCAAGAAAACTCTAGCCTCTCTTGCAAAACATTCTCACAAGTTCTAGAGAGAAAATATGAGACTGACAGCAAGACGACAAAAAAAAAAACTGAATATTCAAAGCTTTCTAAAACCTTAGGCTAACCCCTCTATTTATAGTGTTCAGAGGTTGCCTGTCAAATAAGGAAACAAACAATAAAAATAGAAAATTACAAAAGAAAGGGAAACAAAATAAAATTACACATAAATTAGGAGAAATCACATATTTGATTTGGGGAAGAAATCTGATAATTTGCTCTGATTTTTGGGGAAGGAATTCGGATTCAGCACCAAATGGGACACGTGTCGCAACGTGATTGGAAGTGAGGAGGAAACGTGCCACGTGCCGCATGCGGATTGGTTGGCGTGTGCTGGCGCGGTCAGAATGGAGGACCTGCATTGGACAGGTGGCGCACGCGGAGAGGGCAGCAGGTCTGCTGCTGTCGTACGGGACCCACGCAGATTGAAGCTCGAACGCGCGCTAACGGCTGCGTGGAAGGAACGCGCCAGCTGAGGCACGGGCGTGCTAAGCATGGCTCGGCTGATTGAAACTTGAAAACATGGCTTTCATGGCTTATTTTTGTGTAGCTTTTTACACTGCTTTTTATTTGTAAATAATTAAGTAAAAACTAGACAAATTCCAATTAAAAATATTATGAATAAAAATGATGGAATTGTTCAATTAAAGCTTAAATATTTTAATATTATATAAATTAAAAGCAGTATTTATGGTGCATTTTCATGCACTAATCAACCCTCCACTCTTTTCACTGATCTTAATTAAAAATAAGTATTTGGAGAGAGAGAGAGAGAGAGAGAGAGAGAGAGAGAGAGAGAGAGAGAGAGAGAGATAGGTACAACAAAATTACTCATAGCTTAATAGCGTACAAACTGTTAGTAATTCGCTCTAGCCTCTGTAAGTAGTGGACATACACAAACTCCAGCAAATCATGGAGACACAAACAGTTGTAAGGATTATTTCAACTTTAGAATTGAATAATATCAAACAAACGGCTAATTAATTATATTAATTATATACAAATTCCTTCCTGTAAAGTTAGAAGGAATATCCCTCTCGAAGAAGAAGCAGAACAGAAAAATCTCCAAACAAAAAACCAAGATTTCCAAATTTGACATTATTCGATTCGAGGCACGCACAATATTCTCGTCAACTTGATAATGACAATAAAACCCAAGATCAAATAGATCCGTGATTGAGGCCCATTTTTTCTGTCGCAAAACCATGACAATAGCCAAACGACGACTTCTCTCCCTACTTTTTCATTTTATAATCAAACCGTCTTAATATAAAACCCCACCACCCAATTTAATTAATTAATATAATCTTCATTTTAGTATTGTTTATGCAGCGATAATGACACTCACTAACATGCATGTTAAATTCTTCCAAACTTGTCCTGCTTTTAGACCTAACAAGCTAATATATATTGCTTAGTTATATGATTTGCCATCAAATAATACAGAGTTTTGTTTAAAATAATTACGTTATAATGGCTGCAGAAGAAGAAGAAGAAAAAAAGGTATAATAATAATGCAAGGGATGCCGTTTCCGAGAGGGACGAGGAGATAGGGCGTCGGTGTTGTGTTGGCCTTTTCAATTCCGAATTTATTTTGTTGTCATAAGTAGGGACAAGGGAGATAAGGATAATTCTCCAATACTTCTTATTTTTTCCAATGTAATTTTACTATATTGTATTGCTTACTTGTCTTATTACTTTGGCTAATTTGATTATTTTTAATTTTTTTTATCAGCCATCTCCAATATTATATGTGTGCATATGTACCGCATTATGGAATAATGCCAAGTTATACGAAAACTGATAAGGTCGACAAGACATATATGGTTTTTTTTTTTTTTTTTTTTTTTTTTTTTTTTTTTTTTTTTTTTTTTTTTTTTTTTTTTTTTTTTTTTTGCGTCTGCGTGATGTTTAGCTCGAGTATACCTCGTTGTTAATGGATCGTGTAGAATTAGTGATGCCCACCTACCTTCGGACAGTTAAATTCAATGAGGATAAAATAGGGAATCTCCTCCTTTTCACACACTTTTTTTAGTTTCAAGTCATTCTCTTATGAGTCAATTTTTTTAAGTTAATGTATAATAAGGTAGAATTAAATAAAAATCTAATAACCTAATCTAATGATGTTTAAAAGTGACATAAATCCTTGTGCCCCTATAATGAGGTGTTTTCTAGATTTTTCAATTTTAAATAAAGAGCTTATTACATTGACACTTCTTGTGTTTTGCTAAAATAACAGAGACACCCTCTTAATCGAAACTAATCATGTCAACACCCCTCAACTTTTTATAGAAACTACACGGACATCCTCTCTGTTAGTTAACTGTAAGTTAACCGTTAATCTTGACCGTTAAATTTCTTAGAATGTCAAAAATGCCCCTCTATTTACCATAAAATATTTCTAAGTTGTACATAATGTTCGAAAAGACGTTTTTAATCTTATTTAGCATCAAAAAATGAATTTATTTAATTTTTACACATTTATAACTATAATTATCACTCTAATGAAAAGAAATATTTTTTGATTTTTTTTTTCTAAAAATCCTTTGTTTTAATAATATTCTCCATCCACTAAACTAGCATATTAAATTAAAAACCATTTGATACAAAAAAAATGCATTAATATTTTTTAACATATTTTTACGTTATCTCTTTAAAAATATTACAATACGTTCTAACACATTTTTTTTATTAGAAAAATCAAATAAAAAGGAATCAAAGCAAATTTAATGTAGGGGTAGTTTTGACAATTCTCACTAAAATTTAACAGAGTTTTGGATAGGGTTATTGTTGTTATTAAATTCGGTCAAGGGGGTGTCACTGTAATTTAAATAAAAAACAAGGTGTGTCAGTGTAATGAGTCCTTAAATAAAATAGAAAAATTAGGAAATGTATTCCTCGTAATTCACCTTATAATTTGTGTCATTCTCCTAGATTTCTTCATCTCTTAAGTTATATTTTAAGAGATGAAGAGTGGACAAAATTTTATAGTGTTTGGCATGTGATCAGAGCCTAGTCTCCTCTCAGGGTGCTTATGGTTTCATAATCTGATGTTTCACTCCTTATAGTGGTTCTTTTCACATTTTCTCATGTTACTATTTCACTATCGGTCACCCAAGAGTATTTAATCTTATAAGATGGTTCTTATTCACACTAGATTTCATATGTCCCATGTTACTCACATCAGATTATAAGCTAGTGATACTTTGGAAATTCATACTTCCTTCATCATTTCTCTTTATATATAATTTCCTTGAATAAACTCAAGGGTGAATTAGAGGAATACAGTGTTAGAGATTCGTAATTCAATGTATCATTTTATAGGAAGTTAAGCCTAATTTTCACATTAAAATGGTACAAGTTAACATCAAGATTCAAGTTGTTATTTATTTATTTGTTTATTTTTGCTACAGAGTACACAACTTAAAATTCTAATTTAAAGACGGGAGAATGAGGGGCATAAGGACTAATTAAAATTAGTAGCAAAAGTTAAAAAATGTTTAGTAAATATCATATTAGTATAAATCAGATATTTTAACATAACCAAAATACCAAAAAAAAACCATTCAAATTCCTCTCTTTCCTCTAATCTCGTCTCTCCCTCTTCTCTAACCCTCTCTCTCTCTCTGTCACTCGCTCACTCTCACGAATCTGCTCTATGTTTGCATCCGTCTCCTTTGCGAGCTCTCAACCGCGATGCCGGGGCCGTCGCCGGTGCCGCAGGAGAATCGCCATCGGAGAAGAAAAGTAATGAGTTGACGCCAGACGGTGATGCTGCTTGCAATGGCCAGTGATTCCGGCCGAGGATCGCCGACGTCGAAACCATTGGCATCGCAGCAGTGTCGAGGAAATCAGCAAGTAGTTTCACGGCTGCTCCGTTGGCCGACGCCGTCGACGGTGGGCGGGTGGATGGGTGAGAGAGAGAGAGAGATAAAGAGAGAATTTTGTATGAACATTCTCAACGAGAGAGAATGGAGTAAAGAAAGAAAAGGAAAATGGAAAAAAAAAAAAAAATATATATATATATATATATAAATAAGGGTAAAAATAGGAAAGCAAATTAGGGTTTTAAGAATTGCTATTTACTAACTATGTAAAATAAATATGATTTTTACCGCCTAAGTTTTTGAAATTTAAATATGGGTTATTTGTATAACTAATTGGGCGGGCTCTTTACACATATAGCAAATTATAATATTATAAAAATAGTAAAATTTTAATATCATTATTTAAATAATGATTATATCATTAAATAGTATAAAATATAACATCATTATAATAATAATTATGTCATTTTTACTAATTTATGCCATTTTTATTAATTTATAATATTTTAAAAATTTTACTAAGAGGATGTTTAGTACTTAGATTCGTTTTCTGATTATAATCATGGTTCGTGGTTCGTTACAGTATTTTTTCTCATAAAAAATACACGTAAATTAAAAATAATTCTAATCACATGATTCTAATTCATGAACCAAACGTTTCCAATTTCAACTTAAAAGTATGAAATTTTGTCATGTTGTAATTATCTCCTTTTTTTTTTTTTTTTTTTGCTAATCTAATTGTCGCCCAATTTGAAAGGCGGTTATTAGGTCGGATTTCAAATGTTGGGCTTAAGTTGAGCCGAGTTAGCCCATTTTTCTGGTTTAGGATCGAACCCAACTCTTTGATCTCAAGCGACGTCTGGCCCAAAAAAGTTACTCTTTCATTTCCTCTTTCTTAGAACTTAGAACTAGAACCTGGAAATAACCGATAACAGCGCAGAAGCAACAGTGTCTGTTAAACCCTAAAACGATGAGAAGAAAGGGAAGCTGATAAGAACGAAGCAGTGCGGTGTCAATGGCGCTTCCCGCTTCTACTCTATTGCCCTCTTCCTCGCCTCCAAAATTTCCTGTAATTTTCTTCCTCTCTTATTTTTCTACATTTTTCTTTAGTATTTTCTGCAATTGGAGCTAATATTTGTTTTATTCACTAAGAGATTAGTACAAGAATCATGCATTTAAACGTGGTATTAATCATGGAATTTGAACTACATTAAAAACAAGAAAAAAACTGTTAATTTTTTATAATTTTTTCAGTCTGGTTTTTCGTTTCGACAAGATTTTGGGAAATAACGATCAGAAATGAGGATTCTACAACTACAACAATGAATTTTGTTTTTGTTTTTGTTCTTTTAGATAAAAGTAGTGTTTGGACAGCGACTATGTCAACTCCAAAGGAGCTTGTTCTTAGGCAATCGTCACTTGAACTTGTCCAAGCGCGCCATAAAAGCATCAATGTCGGAGTTTGGTGGATCAGAGGAGGTTAAGATGCAGATAAATGTCGTGAAGGAGAAGTTGCGGAAAGCGATTCCCGAATCGGTTAAGGAGGTTGAATGGAATAAGGCTTCTGATATACTGCTGGAGAGATTGCTTTCCCTTGGGAAACAAGCATTCAAGTGGTCGATTATTGTGTTGTTTGGTCTTAGCTCCGTATCGGATTTCGTATTTTCCGTCTCTAGGAATCAGGAATTGATTATCCCTTTTGGTCTCTTAGTCGGCTGCTTGCTGGCTGACTTTTTGAAAGAAACGTCTCAAGAAGCGTTTCCAAGCTCACAAGTATGTTTCCTAGTTATTATTTTTCGTTTTCCCTGTGTGTTTTTTTGCCTCATTATGAGTAATGCTTTGTTGGATTTTTCTTAACAGGGAAAAGGGTTGGACAGAAACCTCATTGGCATTGGTTGCTTCTTTGTTCTCGTCAAGACCGTCTCTGCGTATTTCGGAATACGGGGAAAGGTTTTTCTTTTGCAGGTTGCTAATGGTGGGTTCATGCAAGTTTTGTGGCTGTGGAAAACTTTACTCAAAGGGAAAGATGAAGGTGACCAGGAGAATTCTTCGTCAGTACAAGATACGTCTTTATTCGAGGCAAAAGACTAATTTTTCCCGTGTACACTGAGGAGTTTTATTTCTTATTTCTTCCCTTTTTGTTGATTATTTGTTCTCTCATAGCTGAAATTGGGGGAAAAAATCGTTCTTCCCATATTAGCCGAATGCTTATTCTTAGCTTATCATTTAAGCTTATAAATAGGCTAATTTAGTCTTTGTATACAAGTTGTACCGAGTATAAAATGCTAGCCATGAGCGAAGATTGAGATGCGTGTGTGCTAGGAATTGAAGAATTGTGTTTCCTGTTTTATGGAGTTTTCTCTTTCAACCTTTGGCATCTTTAAAGTCTATACCAATAGCATATTCATTTAATCTTCGCAAAAGTAATAACCGTACTTGTTTGCTCTGTTACAACTGTACACAATGAAAGAAAGAATACTCCCCCTACCATTTCCTTGCCGAAAAAAGAAACGAAGGAATCTTCGGGGGGAAATGTGAATGAAAGACGCGTAAAAGTCCCACAAATATGCCTCTGGAGTTTTGCATATGCAGCTAAATGCACCGCCTCACCGTTTCTTGAAGAATTTCTGATGGTGATATATTTCCTCTTCCAAGCACCATGTTCTCGCAGGCGCCATCAAAATGTATGAAATTCCATACAAATACATAAAAAATGCACCCCCAAAAAAGAAAAAGGAAAGAGCTCTCTATTTGCAGCTGGCTAGACGATCTTGATAGACCCATTTACTTGACTGTGTTCCTCTCCTGAAAAGTGAAAAGAAGAAACAGCCAAGTAATTACACCTTTGATTCCAGAAAGAGGAAGTCTTCCAAGCGTTGGATGAATCAAACCTGGCTTCACATTTTCTGGATCCCGAACGCTGTCGCCACCCTCATGATTACTTGAACTTCCAGATTTAAACAAGTCATGAGGAGTTAGTGTAAACTGGTAATAGGCTGAATGTAATTGTTGATAAATCTCTTCCATCTTCCCGGACTCTTCATCTCGCCGATCCATGTCGATAAGAACCTGCAATCAACCCAATTGACCATTAAACATTGAAATTGGTGCTACCAGGAAGCATCCAGGGACAAAGTCTGTTTTCACATTACTACCTCAGCGGCGTGGTTCTTAAATATTGGGTGAAATCTCTGCCTACAGTACTCGTTAAACAGAAGAGTGCAAATAACCAGCGGAATGGTGAAGCCTGATGAAACTGGTGATCTCCTTAGTCCGAACACCCCAAGAGCAATTATTTGCATAAAAACCAAGGAAAAGATTGTTGTATTGTGAACAATAGGCCAGAATAGTCCCCCGCTTTCGTATTTTGAGACATACACGTTAAGAATCTGGGAAAAGAAGTGTAGAATGTGCCATAAGAGTTTTCCCCTTTAACCATGAGTTTATAACAAAAGGGAGATGAAGAAAGCATGAAACGGCACGCACGGTAAGATTCTACTTATGCACTGCATAATATATGTATACAAATGCTGCCTATATGATGTATCAAAGAGCTTTGTGTCTGTACTTGTAGCCCAAGAAAAGAAAAATAAAATAAAATAAAGCATATTGGCATTGCAAAATACTTTAAATCTATCCATCGGCTTGGTAATAAAATTTTCAAAGCAACAGCATCCAAGAAGCAAAGTGCTGTTCATTTAACATAAAGCGCAAGGGAAGTTGACTGGAGAAGTGCAAACCTGGTTTCGATAGACAAAGTAAGCGAGTACGAAGTAGACCAGCAAGAAGGGCAATATTAAGGGAACCAAGATGGAACAAGTAAAGCCCAGGAATCCAAAAAGCAGAAGTCTCGGAATTTCAGTGTGATAGGGAAAAGACAGAGCGGCATCAGGCGAATCACTCTTGATTCTGAGTATAACTCGTTTAATCAGGTTGCAAAGAAGGGGAAATAATTGCATGACTTCGCATGCCAAGCTTGCCCAACCCGAAGACAAAACATAAGTCAAGAAGAAGCTAGCCTGCAAATTCGAAAACCATAAGCATGTGTAAGAGAAGAGCTTACCAACTTAACTTCTATATTCATGAGTATAACCAAAGAATGAAATCCAAAAAGAAACATTTATCGACAAAGGGCAGTGGTTTTGAGTTAAAATATGTAAAAGGCAGGGGTATGCACCTGCGCTGGAACTGCGTTGGCGAGCTGTGCAGGTATATCTTTCACACTAGAGAAGACACGCAATTGGCGGATGACAGACCCCGTAAAGACATTAACAAAAAAGACATTCCAGATTGTGAAGTACAAGATTTTGCAGCAGGCACTCTTTTTCCTACCACTTCGGGAGATGGACCCCTCCACTACCGAAAATAGCATCATAGTCGGCGGAACTGTATATAGAAATAAAATCAAGATCACACTGGGAAGGTAACCTGTTGCCAACTGGCTTACAAATTTCCTACAAGCAAGGAATTGGATAAGTTTAGATACAAATCTCTTATTCTGATGGGCATCTACCAAATAAACTGCAGTTTCTAAAAATCCAATCCATCATTTCAGTTCAAAATCTAATATAAAAATCTTCTACATCATGACCATCTCATAATTTTCAGAAGATAAAAGGAGATGCAACAAAGTCAATAAAGCAGAATAATTACAGGAATCTAGAAAAGCATACTATTTATAAGCTGTATCCAATAGATTAGTGTATTAAATGTCTAAATAGTAGTAAATACTATATTATCAGCATGTGTTTTTTCAAAAACATTATTGCACTCCAGGAAAAAAAAAAGGGGGAAAGAAAGAGAAAAAAACAAGGAAAGAAAGAGAGAAAAAACACGGGCTAATTATTGTGGTTTCTTTGTTTACAATAACTGTGACGATAAATGCCAATTCAAGTTGAATGGACGTATCCAAATTTTCAAGTCCATTTTTCTTTTTCATTAGATGAGCAATTTCAGTATTGCATGTTAACGAACAGAAGAGCGTAGTGGCTATACATATTCTTACTTCTTCAAAATTCCTTTAAGAAAAGGAAATGTTTGTTGTAGCTGCTCTAGTTGAGTCAAGCCTTGGACAAATGTAACTGGAATAAGAAACACAAGCATGAAGGCAATGGCAGCCATAAGAGTTGCTATTTTACGAATCCACAGCTGTCCATATGGTATCCACAGATTTGACCAATAAACATCATGAGGTTCTGGAGCAGAGTCTGTCACCCATAACATGGGGTTTGCTGATTGAAGAACCTGTGCAGCAACAACAGCAGCATAGCGAGTCTTGAAAAAGACGAAAGCAGCAGCACACTCCTGTATAAAGTACCGGACATGAATTAGACCACACTACTTCAATACTCATAAGTTTTAGTGATTTAGATTTTACTCACACCAAACAAAACACAAACGAATGTTCACAAAGATAAGAAAATGAGAAGTCAAAACCAATTCATAACAGCAAATATTCACACAAACACGCAAAATATACGACGATAGCATTACAAGAAGACAAATACAACAAAACCCCATCCTCATATTCTCCCTTCAGCTTTGTAGAAGATAAAGAGTAAATTAGAGCAATACACTTTTGTCCTAGGAATTACAGAAGCAACATTATGCCACAAAAGACCAAGCCAAATACTAATTTTCCGGGGGTACATGCATCATGCATGTACAACCTAAAAGTCAAAGTTAGTTTTATCAATCCAAGACAAATTTCTGACCTTTTTTCTTCCAACCAAATCCATGTCAACAAAGTCAGCTCTCTCCTCCTTGACAGTCTCCAACTCAGAAGAAAGCACCTTAAAAGAGTTGGTATGATCTGTACAAGGACCACATTGCATTAAACCTGGTGTACAATTCCTCTCAACAGAAGCAGCCTTCAAAACCATATACATCTTCTCGGCATCACTCTGCAAAGACAAGTGATAATGATTACATTTTAGAAGTACAGTCAACATAGGAATCCTAACACTGCATGCAATCAGACACAAGTAAACTCAATCCAAAAACCTCCATTTTTAACCAATTTGAATACAGCTCTTAAAAAAAGAAAAAACAAACCTTTAGTTCCATAATCACGGTTGCTAGGAATAAAGTAGTATTTTATTTCATCATATATAACGATCTAGAAGAAAATTCAGGATACATTAGATGCTCCCATCTCATTGAAGTCCCTAGATAAATGTGTTTGTACGAATGAGAAAACTTAGTAGCACGTTTTAAATTTGTGGAATTAGAAATAAAGTCTGAATGGAGACACAAGCTGAAAACTCAACCGAAAATAGCATTTACATGACAAGAGGGATGCAAAGGAACAGATGCAGTGAAAAAAAAAAAGGCATAGTAATTTTAGCTTATCATAAGGACCCAGCACGTAATTTACATATCCATCCGAAAACACACTATAGTCTGGATCCAAATGAATAAGCAGTTTTACTTTTAGCAGGTGCAGAAAAGGTAATGTCATCACATCCCACCTACCCAAGACAAAAACGTTCATGGTAGCATAAACGAAAACAAATACAACAGCCGTTAAAACAAAGTGAGATATGTCCATAAAAATCATTTAAGGCAGATGCGCACCATCAATTTTTGAATAGTACCAGCTCGATGCACCATTTGGTGGAACAAATAGCTTGATTCATGGTATTTCATAAAGAATTTTTTTACTGAATTACTATATGTGTCTTCAGCAGACCAAGGAATAGCACGAACAAGAACTGTAAAATGACTTGGGTTTGGAGGAGATTCAGTAATATGAGCAAGCCTCATTTTGGCAATGCTTCTGTACTCCTACAGAAAAAAAGGAAGAAGTTAGATAATGGACAAATGAAATTATAACTTCCAAAAGGTTCATGACAAAATTAGACATGTAACTAGAACCATAGATACTTACAAAATAAAGAAGCACACAAGCCGAGCAGGTTAGGATATATAATGTGAGACAATGTGTCCAGAGCCTGTGGAGTTTTAAAACGAAATAAAAACAAATTAAGCAATGTTTAGGCATAAAAGACCAAAAGAAACAATCAAACTGCACCACTTTTAAATTTCATACCACTTTGAGCCTTCTTGAACATTTAAGATGGTAAATACTTCCAAAGACTCCAAGGGAAATTCTTGGTACTGCCTCTTTTGACCATAATAATTCACCGGAAGCACCACAAAACAACCAATGATTGCAGCAATAGCAAAAATCCTAATACTGTAGGGCAAGAGACAGAGAGAGACAAAACAAAAAAAGGGTGAGAAATCACAAAACCAACAGATAGAAATTCGACTACAAATAAGAGACTGGGCTCAAACTGAACATGTAGTGACATAGATCAAAGTTTTGATATTAATGTGTAACTTGCCTGAAAACAACTACCCTGAGAAAAACCACAGCGTCCATCCCACCAATAGCCAATAAATCTTCCTCAGTTGTTACCCAGGCTCTCACTATCCAACTTGGAGAAGGAACAAATCTCTCAAAGCAGAAAGGGTCTGTGCGTCTTGAGCGACCGGAAGCGATCCTCCGCCCAAAGTACACTGTTACATTGCTTGGTTGTTTCCTCAATATGGAATAAAGTGATATAAGTATCAAGCAAACTGCTATATTGATTCCAGCAGAAGTCAAAAGAGCTGAAATATTCATCTCTGCTCACTATATCTGCAACCTTAATCTATCTCCACATCCAAGAAGAAAGATGCTGTTCATAGCCCTAAATTGAATGCAGTGGGTTGTTTAGAAAACAAATATAGCAATTTTGTTTGAGCCCCAAGTTCAGTTACTGCATTATTAATACGTTAATTACTGCAAATTTATTTTGTTTAAAATAAAATATATATTTCAGATTTCAATGTGCACAACATTCAATTATATTCCTGATTAAGAACTACATATAATGATAAACACATGCATAAACAAACAAACGTATTCAAGTTTATTCCCAAAAGAAGATGAACAAGGCACGTAAATGGAAATGGCTGAACATAGCAATAATCTAAATCTTCACTGATATCTATAAAAAGAGAAAACCTCAAAATTTTGCCTTCTCTAACCTTTTTTTTTTTTTCTTTTTGAAATTTAAAAACTATGGAAATGGAATATGGAACCGCAACATAAACTCATGATTTAGATAAAAGAAGATCAAATAACAATAAATTCCACCATGTAAAGTCTTTTATCTCGCTCTAGAGACTATATGCTATCATAATCCAATTCATCCATTACTTCAGAAAGTGAAAAACAAAAGGAAAAGGTAATAAATATCCTATTATTCTTCTGATTGCTTAGTTTCGCTGCTATTCAATCTAAGCTTCCACGACACAAAAGAAAAACAGACTTCAACCACACAAATTAGCACAATTAGAACAACAAAAACTGGTATAGATACAAAATCAAGCAAGCTAAGTGGTAAGAAATAAAATAAACTCAAAAACAATACCGATTCAGAATTGGAAACTCAAATTGAGACGAAAAACAAATAAAGTCTTAAAGAGAATACAACAGAATGAAAAGAATATTGGGGGGAAAACGCAGAGTTACCTATTGAAATCTGAAACAAATCGTCTGAAAATTCGAAGAAAAACTAACGATTGTTGTCTAATTTGATAAACGAAAAGGATCGCTTATCTAAGAATGTGACGGGGGCAAAAACTTGTACGCCATAACCGCGCTTTGCTTCGACTTCACAGAACCGTATACGATTGATTAGAAGGAAGTCAAGAAAAAAACAGAGGAAGATCGATATCAAAGAAACCCTAGAAATCAGAATTCTCACACGAGCCGGCGACGATACGCGATTCGAAGGTAGCGAACGACGGAAGGATGTGATTGAGCGCCACGTTCTTCTGTTCTGTTTTTTTTTTTCCTTTTTTTTTTTTGAGTAATAATTTGTTCTGTGTGTGTATTTCACCATCGCGGGGATTTGCGGAGAAGCGGGAAAACCACGTGGCTGACATCGAAGGGACAGTCGGAACCGGTATAAGTTGAAAGTGAAACCGCCATAAATGTAGATGTTTTTTCTCTTTTTCCTTTTTAAATATTTAACTTTTTTTTGGTTCAAAATTTTGGATAAATAATGTCTTGCTGTGACAATTTATCTGTATTGATATGCATTTGGGGTCACTCATCCATGGTCGCGATCACGGTTTATCGTTCATCAACGGTTAGGAATCGGTTGAGCGAATTATTTATGCTTTTCTCTTCCAACATTGGGACCGTTGCGATTGCTTGTGATTTAAACAAGCTGGATTTTTTTTTTTGAAAATACAAACGGGATTTTTTTTTTGGGTACTTTCCAGAACCAAAGCTTCAAAAAGATGATGTATTACATAAAAGTCATCAGTCACAAAGATTCTTTTTTTTTTTTTTTTTTTTTTTTTTTAAAATACAAACGGGATTTTTTTTTTGGGTTCCTTCCAAAACCAAAGCTTTAAAAAAATGATGTATTACATAAAAGTCATCAGTCACAAAGATTCTTTTTTTTTTTTTTTAAAATACAAACGGGATTTTTTTTTTGGGTTCCTTCCAAAACCAAAGCTTTAAAAAAATGATGTATTACATAAAAGTCATCAGTCACAAAGATTCTTTTTTTTTTTTTTTTTTTTTTTTTTTTTGTAGAAAAGATCGAGAAACTTTTCTAATTTACGTTTTCCAATATCAACAGCGGAACAAACCAACACGATAAATCGATAATTGATATGCATGGGAAAATTCTATAGATATGAATATGAAAACGTTCTAAGATCAGTAACATGTCATTGGATCTTTGTGAGAAACTTTTGTGTTTGTGGGTGTTGCTAATCACTTGTTTGAGTATTAAAAAAAAGGGTTTTTTTTTCTTTTCTTTTTTTAGAAATTTTTACTGTGGAGTATGTTATTATACTCTACCAGTAGAAATTATATTATCGTTAGATTAATTTTTTAATCGTTAAATTTAGTCTGTAATAAGAATAGTTATAGGTGACGCGCTATAATTTTTTTACACATATCTAAATGTTCTTTCCGGTGAAGTAAAATTACATGCTTCACTGTAAAAATTCTGTTTTTTTTTTTTTCCTGTTGGAACTTTTGTTGTAGGGAATTTACAAGCCGGAGATATCATGGTAAGTAGATGTCGTGACTATTTATTTATTTAATAGAATGGTTATTGTTATTTATTTGCTATCTTTTATTGGCAACCTTTACATGGAACTGACCGGTGGAGCCTTGTTTTTTTTTTTTTATTGTTGAATTAATTTTTCAACATTTATAACAATAGTAGTTCTGTATGGTATGCTGTAAATTTTTTATACGAATTTATACAAATTTAACCATTAAAAATTTAATTTAACAGTTAAAAATCAAGCTTCCACCAGTGAAATAAAAATGGAGGTTCACCGTAGAGTTTGCCTTTTTTTTCTGAATATTCATTTGCTTATTGTTGCTTGAGGAGGAAGACACAGTCATCCAGAGTAACGGGCAAGCTTCACTGTTGGGCCAGAGTAAGTACGTCTTAGTCAATTAATTACACTAATAAAATAATATTTATAAAAAATATAGAGTAAAAATTTAAATTTATATATTCTTAAAGATAAATTCTCTATTTTTTCTTAGAAAATAGTAGAAAATAGGTCAATATGAAAAATTTAAAAAAGTATATAGACCAATTTTTAGTTATAGAAATTAATAGGTCATAACTTGTCAAGTTATGGTTCATAACCAGATAAGTTATTGACAAACTTATCAAGTTATGGTTCATAGTCAGATAAGTTATGGATAAAAATTGTGAATTATGGACAATAACTTGTCAAGTTATGGTTCATAACCGGATAAGTTATGGACGAAAACAGTAATTTAACCTATTTATTAATTTATGTAAACTATTAGTCTATTAATTTTTATTAATTTTAATTTATCTCAAGTCTTAACATATTTCCCTCTTTCTCCATTTTTTTCTTTAGAGAGCAACTAGGCGCAGAATTTGGATGAGAGCTCCAAAATAGAGGGGGGCCTGATATGTTGAAGTCCCAATTCGAAATGGCCGAATTTGGGATTTAGCAGATTTAGTGGTGATTAAATTTAAGGGAAAGGAGGCAAATAATTTCTTAAGGTGTATAAGTTAAGATTTTTACTCATTTTTCTTGATTAATATTATTTTAGTCAAATAATTATATTAGTTAAAAAGATATTAATTAAGAGCAAGAAGTAAAAATTAAGATTTATGCATTTTAATTAAAGTAAATTAAGAGTAAGTTATGTAATTTTCTCTTTAAAAAATTTAATAAATATGGAATTTACCTACATTTATCACATGATCAAATTTGGTACATCTGATATTTATGGGATTTATTCCTAGAAAGCCCCAAATTATATACATTTTTTATAATTATTTATTAAGTCTTTATTTGCATTAAATTATTTATTAATTTTCTTTTTAAAGTAAGAATGTTATTTATTATGAATTTTTATCAATATGTTATAATTCTTTATTTACATTACTTACTTATTTTTAGTTTATAAACTCATGTTCACCGCACAAATCTTCCTTAAAAGGTAAAAGTGTAATTTATTATATATTTTTATCGATATTTACTAATTCTTTATTTACATAAGCTATTTATTTTTAGTTGATAAATTCATTTTTACGCTTACAAATGTTCTTTTAAAAGTACAAATGTTATTTATTAATAAATATGCTATTTACTTGATTGATGTAGTGCTGGAAGTTCGGGTCGGCGGGCCGCCCGAAGCCCGAATTTTTTCGGGCTCGGGCGGGCCGGCCCAATTCCCGCCCGTCCAAGCAAGAAATTCGGGTTCGGGCTCGGGCAGCCCGGATTTGACATGTCCACCCTTGCCCGCCGCCGTCTAACCACCGTATACCGCCGTCCGCCGGGATTTTTTTGCATTTTTCCGACCAAGCCCGAACTGCCCGACCCGAAAATTGCCCGAAAATTGGGTGTGCCCGAATTGCCCGACCCGAAGCCTGAATTTTTGAATTTTGCCCGAATTTTTCCCGCCTGCCCGACTTGCCCGACCCGCCCGAGGTGCCCGAATTATCCGAATACCCGAAAACGGCTAGGTTTTTGAATTTTTACCCGAATTCGGCCCGAAAACCCGAGTTGCCCGAACTGCCCGAACTGCCCGAATTGCCCGATTTGCCCGAAAACGGCTAGTTTTTTTAATTTTGCCCGAAAACCCGACCTGCCCGAGTTTGCCCGACTGCCCGAACCCGAATTTCAAAAAACTAG